CTCGTCGAACGTTATAACTGGCCTCGTCTTGTCTCTTAAAGCTGACGGATCGCCGACTCTACGGCCAATATAAACGCCTACGATTTCCCAATTAGGGCTTCGAGTAATTTCCAGAATCCAGAATGCAGAATCTTGTTGAGGGTTGCGATACCCCGTGATGAGAAGTCGAAGAAGGGTAGCGCGCTAATGCGTCGCGAGAAAATAAGATTCGGCTCCGTATTATTCCATCGCGAATTTTCGCCGAAGAAAAAAAGTGTACGAGGGAAGAGGCGAGAAAGCGAACCGGTGTCGAGCGATAAAAATGTTTGCCGTCGAGGCTACGAGCCCGGGTCTTCCTTATCCTTGATTAAATTAGGGATAAGGAAGTTCGACCGTGGCTTTAATGGATCAAAAAAAAAAAAAAACGAGGTGCATGATAGGGGCGCGATTCGACGTAAATCGATGGCCCGATCGATCCGCTTCTTTTCCCAATTTCTCACCCACTTTTCGACGTTTTAAAATCGAAGCGACCGAGGATGCAAGAACCGAGGGAATCGGTGTATAAAATTTCATTTGCCGCAATCAATTTCGCGAGAGAAATACACGGAATGAAGAACATAAAATTGTGGTTACGCTCGAATCGATCGGTTTCCTACATTTTTCCACTGGTTCGTTCGCCTCTGCGTTAAAACATTTCGATAGGGAAAACATAATGTGCCGTTAAGGGACTTTTAAAGGCGACCATGGGCGTCAAATAGGTGACGTTACGGGAAAACGTACGAGCGCGACAGAGTAAAACAGACGGATTGATAGCGACGATAACAAATACGCGCCGACGGTCGGCGCCATCGAAAAATTGCCTCGACGGAGACGCGTCGACACCTGTCGATATCGAGACATTATATTAAAATTCACCAGCATGCATCCGGATTAACCGAGAACCTTTGCAACTCTCGGTGGCCTCGAAAAGCGAAGCAAAGTCACGTCAATCAGACGCGATCAACTCATTTATCATTCATGAATAAAATTTTCGCGTGAATTTTCCATCGCCGCTTGGACTTGAAAAGTGAGTTATAAGTACGTCGCGACGCGAATTACGCGTTATCGTTTTTATCGTCCGCGTATACTTTTTCCTTTGCTCTCTCCCTTAATTGTATTCTTCCGTCATAGAGTACCATACCGTCGTCACGTCGACATAAATAAATAAATAAACACATAGGAGTGGAGGGATTGTAGGATTCGAGGGTCGGTCGTGGCTCGGCTCGACGGCTGTCGATATCGCGGCTTCGCATTAAAATTCACCGTGACGCTTTCCGATTTAGCGAGAACCTTCCGATCGACGTCGCCTCTCTATCTTACGAGCGAGCATCGAGTTTACGTCGTCGTCGTCGTCGTCGTCGTCGTCGTCGTCGTCGTCATCTTGAATCATGTTACTTTGCATTCGTGAACGAGCCGTCGGACATGCGGTATGAAAAATACATAATTCTGCCGGAAGCAAAGTGCCAATAATACGTATATCGCGTCCTGGCCCGGTTGCCCGACGGACGATATTTCATAGCGTAGCCCGCCCACGCTCGCACACGCCACGGGCCATTTTATTCCAACGATATAACGCTTGACTCGTCGACGTTCTTACGACTTGACATATTGGTCGCGATAGCGAGTAATTCGTAACACCGCCAGCTTCCATCCGCGATAAGAACCAACGGAGTCCGGTTTCCCTTTTTCTCCCCTATCCATACGCTATTTTCTTCCGTGTTCGTTTGTTTCCATCGGTACCCTTCCACCATTTCCATCCTTCGCACGCTTCGGTTCCCTCCTATTTCGTTTTATTCTCTCATCGAGCTCGATGCTTTTCCCATTTCGTCTATTCGTGCCTTTCGTTTCCTCCATTTATCCCTCGTCCTTTGTCCCATTTCCCTCGTTCGCGAGCAAGTCTGCCAAAACCCACCACGAGAAACGTAGGAGTCTAAACGAAAAATAAGGCACGGGGATTCGAACCGACGATCCGCGGATCCACAGTCGACCGCTTTACCTACAAGACCAATCCCGTACCCTACGTTTCGTGTTCTTATTTGACTCCTTATTGTTGGGTATGGGAGACGCGGACACTACATGTACACTCCAAACTATAAGTCATCGGACACTGGAGGAGCTTGTACCTCGACACCACCTAAAACCGAGTGTCTTTCAAAACAATCAACTCGACGAACCCTAGTCTTATTCTCGGTAATGTATCTATTATACTCTACCATCGTTTTGCTCGAGATGGACAAGAATCCCACGACTCGTGAACGGAAGTGTATCTTCCACCAGCGCGATTCGCGAATGGAACGCGCCGCATGCAGAACGTGATGCAGATCGAGGATAAATCAGACCGGGATGCAAATAAAAGTCTTACCGAGGCCTTTGGTCGAAAGGATCCAATTTAACATTTTTCATCGGCGAGTTGGCCACCGAAAGATGAATCTGCTTGACGTTATTTATCCAATGTATCTCCCTTGGCCCATCTAGGAGACCTTGGATTATTTATAACCCTATTTTGGTACGCTCCGACGACCACCGGATACGGATTCGCGATGTAATAAGTTACCGTCGCAACGTTTCAAAATTGCCAGCGGTTAATTCCTCTCGGGAGCAGAGCGACTCGAGATTCTCGAGGATTCGAGCGTTGCCAATTCTAGAGATCGAGAGTATCGAGGTAAAGCTTGTCGAAATTTTGTTTCGAGGCCTACGCGTTCGTTTTAGGTTATCATTCGCGGTGTTGGATATTTCGGTAAATAGAACACGGTAAATAGTCGGGTTTTATTGTCCTCCACGGAGGCAATATACAGTCAGTGTAAACTAAATTTGCCCTCTGCGTAACAATAACGACCGAAACAGTTGAGTTCGGCAGAATGATCGAACGAAAGGTCTCGAACAAAGGCGCGGTGATACCTTGAAATTATACTAGTTTGTTTCACGCAAAACTCCAACATGCAGCATCCCAACGGGAGGAGAGCATCCTTTCTCGAAACGTTAGAGGAAACTTTCTCCCAAAGCTTCGAGATCTATTAAAAATACAAAAGGAGTACGTTGCGCGCACGATTAAGCTTGACAGCAGGATTTGTTTATTTATCCGCGCTCGGCATAGTCGAGGAAACGAAGCGCGACAGATGTGTCAACTTCTGAACGCAAATGAGACAGACGGTGCACAATCTGGGGAGCAAAAACACACGTCTCGACGTGCCTTTTTCGTTCCTTCTCGTCGTCTGTTCGGTTGCGCGAAACCCAGATCCAGCGCGCCTCTGTATACCGCGATAAACAGAAACACGGAAGGACTCGCAGTCAAGCTGACAGGTAATTCGCGATGCAGAAGGCGGGAGCTTCTCTCGGTAACTTTGATTTCGTGACCCTTCGTCGAAACCACCGTGAATTCGAGCAGGAAAACTTTCCATCCGCTACCACCAGCTCGTGACAGTTCGCGCGAATTACCTGCCTGCTTCGTTTGCTTCTTTTCTCCGTGAAAGAAGCGCAGAAATTAGCAATAAACAGGACAACGACTGGATAACTGCGATATGTTCGAGTTCCGATTTTCTTCCACTTATCCAGTTTGTACTGTAAGCCCGAAACGCGGCCTTTGTGCTTGTACATCCTTCCAACCTTTCGGATACGTTGACCGATGTTTGACGTACGTTTGCACGGAAATAGACGAAGGAAGGGAAAGAAGAGTTTTACCGACAATCGCCAATTCCTACGCGAGAAAGTTTCGAGTGTGACATTGACGTTAGAGAAAAGACTCGGTCGATGCATAGAGGAATGGTGTACTTGTAGGAACAGCGACGAGATCTTTGCCGTAGCTTGAGCGAGCTTTAGATCAGAGATAGCGTAAAAGGAAACACCCGTGGGACTTTAGACGAAAAGTTCCGCTTGAAACTCCGCTTCTCGCTTGTACGAGTTTTCCTCGACAAGTTTTAGTCGGAACGTTGCACGTATGCTCCTGGTGCGCCAAGTATTTCGAAAATGTGCTCTCTTAAATGTTAATCTAGATTCTGAACGCTGCGCGAAACTTCTGCCTGGGAAGCATTTTTTCAAAAAAAAATCCTCCGATATAAACAGAATTGACGCTCTGCTACGGGAACGTAACGAACGGCATCGTCGAGCGAGCAAGGGACCCGGCACCTGGACGCATCGCGTAATTTCCTACGAAGGTACCAAGCGTGCCTCTATAATTCGCACGCACGATACGCAATTCGTAAAGCGTAATTCGACCGCGCGAAATTTTCAACGCGGAGCGCTCGGACGAGATTCCATTTTGACACTCGAAGGGTTAGTCGCAGTCAGAAAGATGAAAAAGGGTATTTTCTTGTTTTGTTCTTTTAATTAATCCTTTTTTAAGACAACAACTTTTTTATAGTTCTTATACCGCCTTAATTACCGCGACAATAATATGGCACTTCGTTAATACAGCCATATTTACAAGTAGGCCGATGGCGAGCCACGATTTACAGAACGCGATTCGCGAAGCTGGAAAATCGTAATTCTCGTTTCTGTTTCCTTATACGTAGTATAACATATATGTTATATATGTTATATGTTATCACGTTGTCATATATATGTTATATGTTATACTACGTATAAGGAAACAGAAACGAGAATTACGATTTTCCAGCTATATATATAGTAACATATATATATTCAAAATAAGGATACTACGTATAAGCAAACAGAAACGAGAATTAGGATTTTCCAGCTTCGCGAATTATTATATACATAATACCTTCGTATTTTGTACTAAAAAGTTCTGTTAATAATAAGCGTCAGCGATAGTTTTCCCGCCTCGAGAGACATTCTCTCAGCTGAACGTGTCCAAGCCAAAATTCTGCTCTCCTTCTTCTTACATATCGTGTAACCGCAACGCATAGCCGCTCAGCCACACTCGCGCGGCCCCCGCGTCATTTTACCACGGGATAGCGTAGCACTTAGGGTTGCGGATGCATAAGGCAACCGAGAGTAACGTGGAAAATGCATTTCTGTTTCAGGAAGCGCGTACATCATCAGATGGAGCGCCCCGCAGCTGATGGTGGTGGCGGTGCAGTACATCCTCACGGGGCCCTATATGCCCCCATACGTGCCCCAAACGGGGAATTAGGACGCGACCTCCATGAAACGTGGTCCGTGTTCACCCAGGACATTCTGTCGCGACCCGCGTACCGTTCCATTCCGCTTTTCTCCCAGCGGAGCCGCATTCGAACGTACGATGTACCGTGAAAGTACGCTCTTAGTACATCGAACGTGAGACACGTCGATGACACGGGGCAGTTTAATGTATCGATCATTTTTTGCACGTACGTGTTCCGCGAATGGATAATTTGTTCGTTGTTTCTGCGACGATTCTAGGAATATTTTCTTACGTTTTCTTACGTTCGAGACCGTTACAGAATCGCATTCGTGGTCTTCCATGGAAAAGTCGCATCGGCGGTTCGCAAGATGCATTAGCGGGAACACACGAAATTATTTGTTCGAGCTGGTGTGTACCCTTAATTGGATTGTTAATCGCAATCGAACATTAATTAGCGTAATTGAATTACGTATCGGCTGCCATCGGATAATTAGCGTCAGATATTTATTAGCGAAGCGAATTATCTTGGTGAACTATTTGTGGGAAGTAATGATGTATGAATGGTGTATTCCCCGCGTTAGAAGCAATATTACTGTATGACATGCAGCCGCGATCGTGCGGCTAATCGGCGCGATTAAAGGGAAATTAATGCAACGGTATTTGTCAGTGGCATCGAGGTCTTCGTTTTTAATTTCAGTGACGGTTAGAGGAATGCGTGCAACTTCGAGTTCGGTGCTAGTCAAATAATTTAAAGGGGAAAGCATCAAAGGTAATAACGCTCCACGGTAGAGAGAAAGAAATCGGGACGATCCGACGATGAAACGGGAACGTTTCGGGATGCTGGTAACGCGCGTAGTCTGCGTAAGAAGAATCGTCCGAATGGTATCTCGTGGAAGCGACTTTTCAACCGACCAGAAAGTAGCATTCGAGTAGACAATCCCCGGGGGCAGGGAGACGGAAGAGGGGCTGATTTGATTAATGCTTCGGCACGTGAAAAATGGTGCGAGCACGCTTTCGTCCTCGCGGAATCATGGTAGCGACGCGGATAACCGTAATATTTTTGAACTACGGACCAAACCATGGGAAATCCAATTATCGAAATGTTGCTCGACCAAATGGAGAGAAAGGGGTGCGATCGAGAATTTTATTCTCGTTTCTCAAAACAGCATCCTCGCCCGGGTGATTCGCGATTCCATACACGATCCTTCGTGACGCGAGCTTCCCGGTGTTTGTTCGTAGCGCGATATCAAATTCGGGCCACAATTAATGGAAAACGTCGCGCCGACTCGAATTATTATTTTTCATTTCGATTGCTACTCGACGAAAATTTTCCCGCTGAAAGCGTTTCAGCCAGGTTTTTTTTTTTTTTTTTTGTTTTTTAAAGCAATTTTTTAACGAAACGGTCGGCTCGGGATTCGTTAAAAATTCACGACGACGCGTAAAATCGGAATCGAACGGAACCATCGTTTTCAAACTCGTGCCACGCTAAAGATGTCCGCTGAAACGTTTCGCGGGGGTCGCGTCGTGCACGCGCCAGCTCGTCAAAGACCAAAATTACTATGATTTCCAACGCGAGCGTATTAATCATCCGGTTCCCTCTAATTACGAAACTTTCCATTGCCGATCGTGCGTAATCGGTACGCGACGCGTAATTACGTTTTACGATATCGGCTACGCGACGCCTGCGATAAACAAGGCAGCGTCGGGCTAAATTAAAACACGCTACGGGCCCGAATTAATTACCGAAAGAAGACACAAAGACATTAAACTCGCTCCCCCGTAAACGCGTCGTAGGGGCGATCGTTAATCGAAACGCGTCGAACCGGACGTCAAGTTTGGTTGCGTATTCAAAATTCGAAATAACGATTCGCGATCGTACCGCAAATATTAATAATCGCCTGCGTGTTTTAGCTGTAATTCAATTTCACGGAGCCTCGACAATTATAATTAAAACGGTACCCGACGTTGAAAATTACAACGATTTTATCAGGAATATGATATTTCCGGTAGCCGACCTGCGCGTCGCGCACTGGAACGAGGGCGGTTTCTCCCGAGGGGGAACAAAAATTTCGGATCATTTTATTTGGTTCGTGCCGTCAATACTATCCTCTTTAACGAGTTTCTCTTAATTGATATGCCTTTCGCCCCCGCCATCCAGAAAACTTTCGTCGAATATTTATTCGTCAAATAAACACAAGAGAGTTTAGACGTAAGTATACAGGGTGTCGCAAAAATGTCGAAGGTCATTAAAAGGAGTGGTTCGGGGAATGATGAACAGAAAAGCCTGATCAATCAGAACGAGAGTATTAGGGAGGCCCCCGTGGGTGCAACGTGGGCATGTGTACCCAAGAGTCGCGACATCCCTGTCGTCCTAGTGATCAGTTACCTGTGCCAATAAAGCAATAATTGCTTTACAAGAATATGCTGGTTATTCTCAACAACACTGTGCACCGTCGTGAAAAGGTTATACGCCGGTCAGCGCGTAATTCTTCCATCGAATCGGTAGAAACCATTTGTGTGTCTGATTCGGATGACTCCGTTCGTCGGTCACGCGAGGGGCTCAGAGAAGCCAGCATGAAAAGTTTCGATCGCGCGAAAAGGGCTTCGATAAAGTACCATTCGGTTGGAAAGTCTCGCAGCTGGAAAGTTGGCTCGGTTCGAGATTGAAAAGTTCCTCTTTATCGGCGAAACCAGCGGCAGCTGTATCTTTTCGGAATACCAGATCCGCGAGTAAAAGATTCCTGGAAAACGTTGAGTTACAAAAAAAAAGAGAGAGAGAGAGAGAGAGACAGGGGAAAAAACGGACGCTCGGACGATGAGCAACGGATGAAAGATGAACGACGCGGACGTTCTGCGGAGACTGCGACTGTTCGAGCGCCGAGGAATTTTCTATTTTGAAATTAGCATTTAAATTAAATCTCGAATTAGAACGTCAGTTTTGAATTTATCTTTCGACCGAATACGTCGCCGTTGCGCTGCGCGCCGGAATTTCCGCTTTAACGCGACCAAACGATAAACTCATCGGAATTCGGCCCACGAAATAGAGCGAACAACTACATTTATAATTCTCGGTACGGTCTGTCCAGCATAATTGCCATAACTTGCAGCGATTTAATCAAGAAACGTTCTCTATTTACACGCCTACTTCGAAACATTCGAGGGCGTCTCGTTTTCGATATTCTCGTTTCGATCAAAAATTGCTTTCGAGCTATCTTACGCGTCCCGCTGAACGGTGGCGCGTTTCTCCCCCTGAAAGTTTGTTCGTCCCGTGAAAAATAAGCAAGTTATTTCAGTTAGCAAGTTACGGTGACCCAACCTGTGTAATCTGCGGATGCGCGATACAGAGAATTCCTTCGGGGTATACTCGGGGGTGAAACGAAATTTGTAAACCTTGTTTCGGTCACCGAGCACGCTACACCGGTTCACCCGAAGCGAGGAAGGTGCCCTCGTACATCTGATTGTTCTTCTTTTTCCCTTGTTTGTTCTATCCGCTTATGCACACCCTTCTTCGCGCCACGGCTGAAATTACGAGTTCGCTGCATCCCTTCCACCGACCGTACGTCCCCGTCTCATCCCTCGCCGGTACACGGACGTACACCCTCGTTCATAAATAAGTGGACACTTAATGAACAATTAACATACACCGCAAATTATTACTGTACTACTTTTGTTGCTAAATTCTATATTGGACGTGTATTTAACAACATTAAATGTCTCGACTGCCATATTCAATTTTACAATGGAACTTTCGGGTCGTTTAGATAGAAAAGTTTAGGAAGAATGTTCAATATATCAAAAACATTTAGAGATAATATTAATTCGGATACGATGATGAAATTAATAGTATCCAAGTTTGGTAAAAGAAATGTTGACATTACGTAGTATTTTTTATCATTACTAATGCGATATCAACAAATTTTAACGCACTGAATGTCATACATAGAATATGTTTCAGAACAGTTTCACGCTAGCGCGTCACTCTTTTCGTCGGAAGCCATCCAAGTGAAACGTATTCTATGTTAAAAAAAAAACTGAATAAAATATATTCGCTAATGCAACATGAACGTATCGAAACGTGAATGGTACGATTGATATTAATAGATTCGCGACTTTTATTAGATATTTGTTTCTGTCAAGGAAGTGTCCACATACTTCTGATCGGAGATGTACACGTGCTTCTGTACGGGCCAGACTATTCGAGGCTTTTGCGTCCCGAGTTTTCGACGGTTGATAGTGGCTGAGGCTTTCGGGTGCAAGTTCGGGCCTCCATTTTAGGGAAAAACGGCGCTGTCGGTTTGCTCGGGATTAAAATGATACGCCGATGGAGCCTCGAATGGTGCGGATCTAGTAAAAGTTGGCAGAGATATACTTGGCGACGAAGCGTGAAGCGAACGGGATCGTTGGACCAGCCGAAAATCGGTTTCGCGCGTGGTCCACCGATTCGAAATTGAGAAAACGGAGCGATCACCTCGACGGCTCTCTCGCGGCTCGCTGATCGCGAATTAGCATTTGAACGGAATCGCGAATTAGGCCAGCAGTTTTCGATATTTATCCGTGTGCCAAACCCGACAGAAATTCCGGCGTTGCGGACTGGAGGGCCCCATTCAGATTCGGACCACGAAACAGCGCGCACGGCCGAAATATCTCACGCCAATATAATTGTGCGCGTTTCAGAGGTATCATTCCGTAATCTATGTAGTCCTGGTCGGATGGGGGATTATGTTAAGCGATGCGTGAGCGGCCACAGTCCACGGCAAGCCAGGCGTAACAGAGATACTGCTCGGTGACGTCGTTACACGCCACGGCTGTGTGTTCCCGCGTACACGCGCCGATAGAATACACGCTCCCTATTTAGATGCGCGACCGGATAACGGCGTGTACCGTCTAGTCTTCGAGCACGCAGCCCACGGATTATTTTATTCGGATACCAGCCGGTCGCTGTATTTCAAACGGATTGCGCGTAATTAGCAAGTCAATAGATGCTTCGTCGCCGTTGATCTACCGCTCGATCGAAGCTACGCGAGCCAACGAATGAATATAGGACACCTCGTAAAATTAACTTTACATCGTTTGAGCAGAAAAGTTTTATTAGAGTTTTATTAGGGTTTTCAGTGTACGGGGTAGAAGGAGAAACGAGATTTTGGAATTTACGCGAAACCAGGGTGTAGGAGATAGTTTGAAAACTATCGGTCCGCGCGGAGCGGAGGTGCTCGACGCGCCAAAGAATCGGGGTTACGTAAATTGGTCCGTAAGTAGATAATATTGAGTCTCCGTCGCCGTTACAAAGTCCCCAAACTTAACCTAGATCCAGCCTCGACACGTGTCTCTATTCTATCCTCGCATTATATCTTGTCTCGAGCATCGATTTTCCGGGCCTCTAATTAATCTTCAATTACCGCAGCCGCTATTCAATTTTATACCGTTCGTCTCGACGGGGAGGGATCGTCGGAACGTCATCTTTCGCGGCTAGCGACGACCCGCACGCGTCGCAGAGATAAACCGAAACGCGGTCCGTATCCGAATTCGAATTCGAAAACGAACCACGCGAGCGTCGACTCTAACGCGCGTTACGATTAATAAGCAGAAAATTGGAACAGCCCGAACGACAACCGTGCCAAGACAAACGACCGCTCGTGAATCCTGGTTTTCGAGTTACGTACCGTTGCCCTGAAAAAAAAAAAAAAAAAAAGGCAAGATTAAAATTCCTGAACGACTTGTACCGTTTTCGGAATTCCGTTCCCTCCACCCCACCCCTCTTTGTCACGGTTAAATGGAAATCGAATACTAATTTCGAGGCACGTTTTTATTTCCCTTTCGAAGTTGTTGGTAAATATTATTCCGTTAATTCGATAAGTGTTTCCGTGTTTATTTATCCGTTATTTTCACGCGACTCGCGTTTTCATTTCTCTTCAATTTTTGTTTTCCTATTTTCTTTTTTCTTTTTTTTTGTAAACATTGTTTCGTTCATCCTACAGATACTTCTTTGTCCATTTGTTCACTTGTTTTTGACGCGTCGATTTCTCAGCCAACCGGTACCGATTCGAGACAGCTTCATCGGTTCACTCGCACAACCCGCGAAGTATTTAAACGCGTCGAGTAGTATAGGTCCGGCATAGATCGGACACATAACGCACGGCAGACTTCGATACGCGATTATATTCCGTTTTATAAATTTCCATACTTGTAGCGACGTGTACACGTTTCCGTCGTGTAAATATCATGGGAAGTACGTACAGTTAATATCGCTGTTGTTTCGCCGCACGACGGGGAACGCCATTTATCCGGTTCGTTCCGTTCCAAGGGACGACGGTAAAAGTCCAACGACAGCACCGACGGGATCCCCGGCCGTAAAATAACCGTCGGGCGTCGCGTGGAACTTTTCGAACGGAACGAATTTAAAATTAGCGACGTAAAAGGAAAGCACGGGTCTTCGATATCGCCTCGGACCGTAAAAATGATTATCCACGGCGCTCGCGAGTGATCGTAGCCGTGAAATTCGAGCGAGACGATACGCGAGAATTCGAAACCGTGGAAAAACCGGCGGTGCACGTGCAACGATCAAAGATTCGCGTTTCCCGCGGAATTTATTTCCTTTCTTTGGTACGGAGAGGGTCGAAACTTTAAAGTATTCACTGTTGCCGCGCGATACCGGTGAGATTCCGTCGTGGTAGTCTCAAAAGGCTGGAGAAAGTTTCGCGCGGGGTTGAAGTACAGCTACGAGGGGGGCAGGGTAGGCGAAGAAAGAAAGGGAGGGACGTTGGAAAGTTCTCGTTAACCGACGAAATAACCAGCCTCCGTTCCATTGCGGATCAAAAATGCTGACGTAGAACCAGAGAAAAGACGAGCGACTCGTGGGAACGGAAAAGAAATCGGTCCGCGGTTTTCTTTTTCTTTTCTTTTTTTTTTTTTTTTTCTCGGGACGACTGGGAATTCGTTCCGCCTCCTTCGGTGGATTTAATCGTTGGACTATTCGCGAACAATGCGGCTCGCTCGATCGGACACGAAAATTGTCGGCACTCCGAAAGGTCGGGAACAAAAGGATCGATTTAAATCGCGTGGCCGACGTTAACGTATTTGCATGATAGTGATTTTCGGGGCTGGCGCATGAATCAGCATAATAATACTTGGGAGAAACGTAACAGAGCGGAATCCGACGAGACCAGCGCTATACGGGATCGGAGATTAGAGACGGAACGATGGGACGGTCAGAATCGGATTCTGTTATACATAATCTGTGTTACCGTCCGCGAGCTTTTCTCGTCCGGTTTAACGCTTCCGGTTCGCGGCCGAATGCTCTGCCGCGAAAGTACTGTCCAATCTGTTGCTTCCAATGATTTCTCCTTCTGATTTCTCCCGTTGCTCGTCGTGTAATTCAGTCGTCCGATTTTTTTTTTTTACAGCTCGATAGACTTCCATTCGTCGGCGCCTCGTTCAAACTTTTCGACGTTTTTATTCGACGCGGAAATCATTCCAAACGCGCAGCTTCGATCGTTGCTTACAGTGCTCTACGGGGTGTTCCAGAACTCCTGTGAGAACCGAAAACGAGGGGGTAGCTGACACGAATCTTCAACAACGATCGCGCCCGTTGATAAAAATTCATTTATGGTTTTAATCGGTCGATCTTAAGCCGTCGCCGAAAACCAGTCCAGTCGATTCCGCACGTTCGTTCTCCTTATTAAAATAAAATCACCGATACACTCAAAGGCGCCTTTCGTTTCGAATATCCACGAGTAAACGGAGATACGCGAGGTGTCGACAAAATTTGTTTACGAGAGTTCCCATAGGTGGGAAATCTGGATCGTCGCGAGTATTTGAACGCGTGAAGTAGTACAGGCCCGACATGGTCAGACGTAATTGGCACGGGAGACTTCGATGCGCGATTACGACGAACATAACGACAGTGGTATCGTTAATCCCAGTTTGATATAATTAATGTTAGAATTGTATTTTTATAAACTTTATTTTCGAAAGGATCACAACATATACAAGAATGTCAGAGGAAAGATGTCCGAAATTCACGAAAACCACGTACCGCTTGACTTATTTCGACGGACTGAGGATCGTCGCTTTCCGTCCGTGCTAGACTCGTTTCCTCGAGACTCGAAAGTGCCAATCGTTGCATTCCGACAATTAATTTCTAATAAACAAAATGCCGGAAAACGAATGGAAACAGCCGGATCGAAACGGTTGCATCCCCTGTGATTTCCAAGTATTCAAATCGGAAGCACGCCTCGAGCGTGACCCTCGTCGATCCTTATCGTCCAGAAACGCGGGGGCGCGACTCGTTGCGAGCGTTTCAAAAGTGTCCCCGTCGCAGCGAGAGTCACGGGCAGGCCAGTCGGGCAACGGGTAAATGCGGGAACGACTACGCGGACGAGGGTTGGGGGCAGAGAAGGGTGCCGGGGGAGAGGAACAGGTCGTGGGTGGAGAGATCCTGTTATACACAGTCTGTATCATCACTTTGCGATGTACTTGCGAGCTTTTCCCGCCTCGTTTAACACGGCCCGTTCATAATAGGGTGACGGCCGTAAAAGTATTGCCGGTTATCGCGGCGAGAGCACCACGTAGCTGGCCAAACATTGCCCGACCTCCGATTTACCACCTCCGCCGCCGCCCACGGTAGGACACCTATTGTCCTGAGTTACGACGGGACGAGGTCGGCGGGCCGCGGACCGAGACTTTTACAGCGGACCCCACGGCTGGCTCATAATTGCCAGATTGCTACGACAAAACTGGCTTTCCCGTGCACCTATCGGGAAATAACGCGATAAAT